ATATGCGTTTTTGCTGCCTGTTGCAGCGCTCTAGCGCTGCACGGCAAAAACGCATAAAAACGGAAAAATCGAGTGAATCCTGAATGAACAGCATTCAAATCAAGAAAAAAACTTTTTTTGGGACCTAAGATCAATTCTTCTGGCCTTGCGCATGACCGATCTCACTCCTGGCTTGATAATCAAATACGCAAGTGCTAAAACTCAAAAGTCGAAGCCCCAGGCGGGATTTCTTCTTATTTTTATGCACTCGATAGAACGTTATCCAACCAATAAAATCATATTTTAACTTAACTGAGAAAATCGCAACATAACTGGGGCTAGGCTAAACCTCTCATTTCAAAAATTACCTATTTTCAGCTGCTGTTTGCCAAGTTCATTAAGCGAAAACACCATTTCTCCCGAAATTTTTCCAAAGAATCATCAGAATTTACCAACCAGTACAGCCAGAAAACTCGTGAAATGACTCTGTTCAAAAACAAATAGAGTGAAATTTTTCGAGCCGTTTCAGGCGTAACACTCATTGAGATTCGCTACCGTGCGCAGGGGAAAACACCCTGTTTCCGGCCTAACCAATTCCAGGGAGTCCGTTCCTTAACCAGAAAAGAGAACTTTGACTCGGGCTTTGCTCAACATCTCCGAATTCGTTTGCATTACCGTGCTAAACACCCGTAATGAGTTTTTTTAAACAAGATATATCACACTACTGTAAATGTTACAATTACCTTAAGAAAGCAGCCAAATCCGACATTTCCCGTCAAGTCGATGACAGGAAATCCAAAAAAATAAGCAAATCCAGCAGCTAAAATGAAGAAAATTTCTTGTTTGAGAGGAAGAATTTAACCACCGGGCTGGTAATTTCTTCAGTCGACGAAACGAACGTTAGGATCGCTAACAGGCTGACCAACAGGTGCTGTAGCTTTGGTTAAAAAAAATGGAGAAGTTGCCAGCTGCATCGTTGAAAGATCAGCTACGAAACAGCGATTGGTTTTATGCAATACAAGCACAATAACTATATCGCTTTCGGTTTAGAAAAAAAAGAAATATTTCTTGTTCTGTACGAGGAAAACTCATCAAAAAAAAAGATGACAAAAAACTCCATTGCAATGTTTATTTGATAGAAATCGGGAAAACCGATAATAAAAATACGACGGGGCAAATTTACATAAAAAAATTAATTTTTTTTAAACATTTTCCGAACTGATTTGAAACTTCTGTCAAGAATATTTCATTTATTATTCTCAAAATCTGCTTTAGGAAAAAGATAGCAAAAACCATTCGTTTTGTCAGTATTCACAGTTCAAAAAAGTCCTCAGTTGTCAGTGCTAATCTGCTCGAGAACCCGTAAATCATCAAAAAAATAACAGTATCATGGAGGAAGTCGGGCTGGATTCTGCTGTCGATGTTGCTTCAAACATGGAAGTGAACAGAAACGGCAATCATCGTATTCAAACGGCGTCACATTCAAAACGGAACCGCACTGAAAAAAAAAGGAAGAAAAACCTATTTTTAGGGCAATTTACAGAGAAATATCACGGAGCTAAAGCTAAACAAGGAAAAATAACAGAATGATCCCTCGCCTTTATCGTGGTATTAGAAGTCTCCTACTACACCAAAACAGCATCGTAGAAGTCCGCTTAGCTGGAGGATGCTCCTGCTAGGCTGCGGACAGCACTTACCTAAACCAACAAATAATGCTTTACCAGGAAACGCGAAAGATTCGGCAGCAGTCCCAAGCTGCTCCGCACAATAATAGTATGGCACCACAAAACAATTCTCATTTCATTTCTAATCACATCATTATATATCACGGAGCGGGGAACTCAAGTCAAGAGACGGGACATTTGCATATCACATGGAATCGAAAGGGCAACTGGACAAGGCAAAGGAAATTAGCCGCCAACTTCATTTTTTTTTATGTTAAAGTCTTCCTTTGGCAACAAGTGTGCAAGGAATACTAACCATAAAACAACGATTACCATCATTCTCGACAATTTTGCATCGTATTTGTAATGCTTGTGGAAGAAGACGTTCAGCGCAAAGTTCTTTCTTTTCTTGATCCGATAAGGTAAGATATTTTGTACGCTCATCCTAAACAGAATTTAGAAAAAAAAGCACTATAAAACAACATTTGGGAAAAAATATAATTCAAAATTTCATTTTTTTTTGAAAATTTAAAGCTTCATGACATATTTTTCAAAAAACGAATTATGCGTTTTATACATCATATGTCCCTCTATTCCCGGGCGGAATGCATACGGAGACGATTTTGACTTTTTTAGCATTCATAAAATAGGAAGGGCAGTACGGGCCGTAGAGGCCCAATCAGGCTCGTATTAATAAAAAGCTATGAACAGTCCGCCAGGAAGGCTGCAAAGTTAACAAGTCTTCAAAAACCAACTAACTTGCTCCTTTTTTTGCAAGAACTGAGCAGCTTTTTTGGCCTTCAGACGCTGTTTCTTCTTTTCTCTTTGAATTTGTTTCTTTGCAGCTAAATATTCTTCACTCGACTCCACAATTTCTGGTATTTGGCTGATTTTCCAGTTGAATGCATCCGGGTGTTCGGACCGAAATCGACTGAAAGCCTGACGAACAGCACGATTCTGCGCCAGCTATAAGAAAAAATATTTTTTCGAGCTGTTTCTTGCAAAATTTTAGACGATTTTAAAAATGTTCCAGCAAACCATCCCATATAAAAGGCAACGTGCCGAATTTCAATCCCCGTATGTCATATGGCGGTTTACATGCATCCAAGAAGTTATATGTATAAAGAACAGAAAAAAAAAATACGTGCCCAAGATATTACAGGACGGCTAAAACTTTGCCAGGTATTTTTTATCGGGAAAACCGTAGACAATACTCAACACGTGACAAGAGGGGAAGGAGGAAAATCTTAAAACGGGAGGATGAAACACGGGGATGAACATATACCGAAAATTTCAGCCTTCCAGCTTTCCTGGTTGCTGAGATGAAAGTGGGTGACGAAGTTCACTGGCTTCTGGACACACGCACACACACACAGACAACCTCTCGACAATATGTGTTTTTGCTGGTTGTAGCAACCTGGATGTAACATTCAGGGGACGAAATGAAAATCAGGGTCCCACAAGCTGACCACTAAAACATACAGCACTGGTTAAAGCAACTACGAATTATTTAAAAAAGAAACTGCACCTGATATGGAACTTTTCCATCGTTGTCTTTTACTGCTGGATCACATCCCAGCAACAACAATTCCTGAAAGTTATTGCTAATTCTTAACCAGATTTTCAAAACAGTCAAAAAAAACGTCAAATCCAACCAAATCAGCAAAATCTCAGGCTCTGAAGTTCCTTTACAAAGTTAGAATCACAAAGAAAGAACTGGCCATCGTCTAAAATACAATCACTGCTTTTTCGGTACTCTGAACATAACCGCTCAGTTAGTAATCCCTTCAGGAGACGAAACGAAGCACAGTGAACACCAGCCGGTCATCATCAGGTCAAGTAGCGTTGCTCAAAGCAACTATATAAAAATATTGCCAGTTTAATAGATGAAAAATCACACAAAACTGTTCCGAACAGTTATTGCACAATTTGCAAAACAAACCTACAGTTATAATTTCCACGAAGCCTCTTCGGGAAGCGAGGTGCAGCAGAGTTGAGCCGTCGGGTGGAAACTTATTTTCTCGAATATATTTCAGCAAATTCTCTTTTTTCGCTTCATTATCATCCAACAGTTGACGTAAAGCTGAGACGGAATTCAAACGAACTGCACCGTAGATTGATTGAATTTCTGAGCTGTTCAAGATTTCATTTTCGTCTGCCGCCTGATACTTTCGTCTTTCCGGCATCTGAAAATACAAAAAGAAACTTAGTTTTTACGCAGAATCTTTGATTGCAACTAGTAATTTTGCAAAATCCTCAAAAAAAAAAACTAAGTTTCCTCAAGCTTCAGTTCAAATTTCCTGTTTAAATTCCCTCAGATATCAGTTCAATAAATTTTTGCGCAATGTAAATTGTTCGCGGAAGCTGCTAACTGAGATGAAATAGGTGCGTTTCGGCAATTTATCGTTTAAAATTTAAAATGAAACAAAATAAATGCCCTTATTTTTTCAGGTAATAATACCTACAACTCACCTTTTTTATGTACTCCGCCCCTTCAAGGCTGCCCATGTGGTCGCGTGCATGAAAAAACAGCAGAAAAAGAGGGAATGGACTTAAGTGTTATGTGTAGAAGACATTTTACGATGCAGTCTATCTGTGTGTTTCATCCCTTAGCTGTAAACACTGACCAAACTTACATTCAGCATGAAATAGTAGAAAAAGAGGGATTGGACTAAAGTGTCATGTGTAAGAAGACATTTTACGCGATGCAGTCTGTCTGTGTGTTTCATCTCTTAGCTGTAAACACTGACCGAACTGTGAATGCGGGTAGGAGTTACAAGCCTTGCTGGCAGCTTAAACTGCTCGTAAAGTCAGTTATTACTGTTTTGCTCGTCGGATTTTAGCTTTATTTGTAGGATTGTCAACTTATCTGAAGACATCTTCAACTTATCTGAAGATGTGCCTAATTTCATCGCACTATCGCTCCCCCTCCCCCCTAGTCCCCCTTACCGCCCCC